TTTTTATTTTTTAAGCTCTAATATGGTTTTATCACCTGGATCAACTCTACTTATTACAATTTTTATTTCATTTATTGCTGTCCAAAACATTGAAGGAGGTGTAATGAATCTATCCGATATATTGAAGAAAATTCGCCAAAGCAAACTTGAAACAACGACCGAATCTTACAGCAACAGAACCAATTTTTCTGGTAAGCTAAAAAAAAACTAATAACCATTAATCAAGAAATTTTTGTTACCAACAACAGTTTCCTCCCAAACTCATTTGCAGGTGAAGAATGTGAAGGATATGCCGAAGAAATTTGTGGATCACTGAATTACGATGACCCCAGTCCAAGTGAGTTGGAAAGAAAAAAACGTCAGTGTTGTTGTGGTTACGGTTACGGCTATGGTTGTGGGTGTATGTGTGACTGTAACTGTAATTCCACAGTGAAGATACCAGCGGTTAATATGACCAATTGCTGCTGTGGCTGTTGTTGCTGTGGTCAGCAGATGCAGAATATTAATACGACCATGTGTAATTGTTGTTGCTGTTGCGGCTGTTGTGGTGGTTATGGATATATGTAAAAAAATCTTGATAGGCTGATTTTGTGATCATTTTATCTTCACTTGCGGTGATGTTAAAACTGTATATACGCTGACTGGATGTAACAAAAATAGGAAAGTTTCCCGTTATTTTGGTTGTCACTATACAATTTAATGAAACCTCCTATAAACGCTTCCAAAATCAGATCATTTTTAAAAATCAAAATGAGACACTGATGAGATTGTAATTTGTATGAAATACTGTCGTTTCCCATTTGAAAAGTAATACAGAAAAAACAGTAGAGTTCCTTATATCAAACAAGGTTACCGGACATTTACAAAATAATTTCCTCCCATTTATTTGTGTTTTAGCTTCGAAGCTGCAGAAGAGTCCAAGAACCAGAAGAGACTTCCATTAACAGGGCGAACCATCACAGCCGGCAAATTTTCATCACGATTATCAAGAATTGACTATAAAAGTTAAATCAAAGTTCTAGAAAATGGTTGTGTCTTCTGATAACATGAAAAAAGGCAAAATAAGCAAGAAGAGCTAGATGTTTTGGAAAATAAACCTTCAAATCCATTCAAAAACTTATTACAAATCACCTTAATTATATCTGCTTTATTTTGTCCAGAAGAAATGAATGCTACATTTCGAGCATTATTCACAACTGGCATTGTCAAAGTTATGCGCCTTGGGGGAGGCTTTGGGGAATCATTAATATAGGCTACGATTTCCTTGTCATTCTGTAATGAATACTTTCAACAGTTGTGACTTACATAACTAAAAGTCGCTAAAGTACTACCGCCGATTCGCTACCAATAGAAATAAGTAAGAAAAACTTTCCATAAGACTACTTAACTCAGACAAATCCGTTACTGACAATTCACTAACCAATCACAATTTTAAAACCTTTTTGAGAAATTCGTCGTAACAACTGATCTAAAATGACACTAAAATAGCTGAAACAAAGCAATTCAACAGTGTCATTCTGAAAGAGTTCATTTCCGATAAAAAAAAACTCAGGCCTAGATGAAATTTACAAAATGTTACTTCAGTCTCTCATTCTTCTTGCATTTAAAATATAAGGCCTTCGAAACATAAGACTATGCTAGTTCAAGGTCGTGAGTGGCAACCTTAAGACAGGAAGAAAAAAACCCAAAATAAACGCTGACAGGAAAACCACTTCCTCCGTACATTTCAACTTATAAAGACTTATAAAAGAACAAATTCGTTTATAAGGGACAACACGCAAAACCTCAAAAAACACTATGAAGTTTTTAAAACGACCAGTTTCATTAAACACACCTTTAACAGTGGATGCCCTGGAAACAGCGAGCAAGTGTGACCATCTGGACCGTGTCCAAGTAAAAGTAAGTCAAACTGTGGCATCCCATTCAACATGGGCGGATTGAACTGAAGAAGTGCTGCAGCATAATTTCTTGCACACGTTTCGGCTAAAATAATAGGTAGCAACAGTTAGGTAAAAAATACGACGTGATGCGTAGATCATATATTTCGTTCCACTCACGATCATCTATCGGTCCGTACGGTAGAAAAGACTTATGAAACTTTTCAGGAAGTAGCCGCAAATACGCCCCAGTATTTGATTCGCTGTCCTCAATAGGCACCATACGCTCATCTACAGCAAAAAACCTGACCTTGTCCCAGTCAATTGTAGTTTCGGAACAAAGCAGTGGCGCAACAAGTTTCGGCATAGAGCCACCTTAATAGTAAAGAAACCACGCTCTTTTTCCAGCACCATATAACTATATAGCTTTACAGAAACCTTCCATAACCAAAACATTAAGAATTCTAGTAAAAAAGCCGTCGGCAATGGCTTTCGTACCCGATACACCAACTGTAGCACAATCGCGCTCCTTCAATGCGTCTGCAACAACGCGGAATATAAGCGAGCCAACATTTTTTTGAAATTCATCAACCGTTCCAGAAACCACAATTTTGCTGTCCGCCATTCCTCTACGACTTCATCAAAATAAAGAAAATATCGGTCTACCAGGCAGTACAGTCCTAAAATACACGTAAAAGATCCTGTTCCTACAATCAATGAACCGAATCAATATTCAAGTACACAGTCATATGAGGGATAGTCAGAATCGCATGCAGTAAAACTTGGGTCAAACACGTCGCACGTATACTTAAAACAAAAAACATAAGTTTACTGGCTTGGAAAAACATTAAATGATATGAATTCTCTTTTGCCTTTCTAACAGTATAACGGATAGTAAAATCCAACCTTGATAGCCACTAGTAACAAAAAAAGTAACTTTGGAAGAGACGGCTCTAAAAATTCTAAATCGCAAACCCTTTTGCAACAACGAAATTAATATAGATCCAC